GAAGGAGAGCAGTGCATTTGGGGGGTGGCTGGGACGTGGGATGTGGCATGACACCTGTTTTAAATGAACTTTATTTTATAATAAACTCTTCATCCAAGAAGTATCTTTAGGTGCCTACTACATGCACGCAGTTGGACAAAGCATAAATAGAATAAGGCAGCCCTGACCCAGTGGGAACAGATGTCGCTTACTCTGGTGGAAGCGCTGGGCTGGGCTCTGAGTCATGGCTGCACAGCCCTGCTGCAGGTGGGAGGTCCCTGTACCCTGTATACTTCCACCAAAGACAAAGAGAAGCAGGAGCGCTTGCTGAAGCTTTGTGAAGCCCCCACCCCCACTCTAGACTAGCCGGGCTCAGGAGCAGCGCTGCTAGCTCTGGAAGGAAGAGGCACCAGCTGCCCAAAGGCTGGCCTAGAGCCTGCCAAGCAAGCTGGCGTCTGGCTGGCAAAGCCACCAGCCTTCCCAGAGAGATGGCGGGCCAGGGAAAGCCAGGCTCAGATGGCTACACTGTTGGGAATCCTATCTGGTGACAGGTAGTAGTAGGGGAGTTTTTTGTTCTTATTGCGCTCAGCGATCACACTGACGATGGCCTCCAGGTTCTTGCGGAATCGGGTCATGGCTTCCTTCACTGGCTTCTCGATGAAGTGCTCCTCGGGGTACATGCCCAGGTACAGCTGAGGGTCAGACATGGAAAGACAGCTTAAGATGTGCCGTAGAGACTGCTAGGCCGTGTCCCAGCCAAAGAGGCGTCTTTTGGGAGAGAGAGGGGTATCTGCTCAACTCTCATCACCTTTGACCTTTGCCACCTTCTGGGATTGATTCATATATACACACAGTGACTACTGCTTGGCCATAGAAAGTGAAATCCTGACTTTGGAACACAGTCAGGATTAACCTTGAAGGCCCTTGTGCTAATGAAAGGAGCAGGTTCAAATACCAGATATGTGATATTAAAAACTGCTCTCTCTCCAGATACGGTGGCACACACCTTTAATCTCAGCAAAGGCAGGCATATCTTGTGAGTTCCCAGCCCGCCAAGGCTACATAGTGAAACCCTGTCTAAAAAAAGAAAGACTTGCCTCCTCATCAGAAATTACCAGCGAAGAGGGAAAATGGCAAATTAGTGAATTGTAGGGCAAACAGTAATGTATATATTTCTAAACTAGAACATTCTGAATGTTACACAAGGAAATGCTAGGTCAGATGCTATATCTGAGCAGTATCAATGTATACACAACACACTATCATAAATATGCAAATTCTGTGTGTGAGTAAAAAGAAAATCATAGGGTATACAAATGCCACCTCCTTTTCCTTGAGGCTCAGGGATGGATGTAAAAGGAAGTTACTTCCTTGTTGCTTTTTAGACAAAGAAAGGGACTATGGAACCTGACGGTTTCAGCTCTGGGAGTTCTGTGACCTTAGGGTCCTGTCCTGTGTCTTCCCCATCTTCCTTTTAAAGCTTGAGGTAGGCAGAGGCCCTGGGCTGATATCAGGAAGTGGTGGTAGTGGTGGTGGGTGGGGGAGGGGGGAAGGGGGAAGGACACCTTGCAGGGTAATATGCCCCTTGCTTGCTTACACCAGTGTCTGTAAAGTGTTTGGTGACTGGAAAGTGGCAGGCAATCTGGGGTTTAGTTTGCAGAAGTCAGACGACATCCTTTGACCAAGAATTTAGTCTCTTAGAAACGGTTCCGCTGGTCATTCCGAACACAGAACCAGCACATTAGCAAGCCTGGGGCAGGCTGCAGGAGCTCAACCGAGGGAACAGCACAGGGAGACTTTGCACAGGGCCATGTCTGCTGAGACTGTCACCACTTAGCATAGCTGTGAGTACCTGGAAGGGACGCGGGCTTCTGACTTTCCCTGTAGGGAGCCAGGAAACCACATGGAAGAGATTTATCAAAAACTGGGAGTGTGTTAAGGGGTGCTAGCACACACCCCTCTCTGATGACTTGGAACGGAGCCTGTGCCCTCCACTGCCAGTCCATCCTGGGCTCAGACCCAGGCTGAGGACCTGGGGTGTGCCACCCCGCCCCCAGCAGCTCCACCTTAGAAGTCAAGGTTCTTGGCTGTAGGAATCCAGCTAGAGCCCGAGCCCCAGAGCCTTGGGCTGGAGAATCGGTTGAAACTGCAGTGACCTGTACCACCTCCAGCAATCCGTGTCTCACCTCATTCTCTTGAAACTGGCTCAGTGCCCACACTGCGCCTAGATGCCAACATGAGCGGCCACGGTCTGGTAGAGTATCCACAATCTGCTCAATGGTCACCACACCCTTGGCCGTGGGCGGTGGGGCCCGCATGGTTGGAGGAGCATTGGGGATCCAGGAACACCAGTCATACTGTGAGAGCAGGAGCAACAGCGTGGGTGCCCGAGAAAGGCAGCTCCGACCCACCTTCAACCCACATGCTTACGTTTTTCTTGGTTCACGGGGAACCAGTTTAGCAGGCTCCACCCCTCCCTGTGGGAACTACCCAACGCTCTGACGACCCCACCTCACCTTCCTTGGTCCCCCCTCTCCTGGTTCTTAAGCCGTACCTTCCACATATCCCTACTCCACCTCCTCTGTCCCCCTCCTTTGTCTTCCTTCCAGGGCCCCCAGGCCTCCCTTGAGGATATTCATGCCTCTCCCTTTCCAGGGCCTGCAACTGTCCAGCCAGGTGTCTTTGGGAATGCATGCAGAATCCATGCCTCCTACTGCTGGTTCCAAGTTCAGGGACTCCATGGAGATGGGTGGGCCAGCAGGGTCAGGGAGTCTGGAGGTATGAGGGGTGGCTCTGACTGTGGGGTGCCTGAGACCGTAGTACCCCAGAGAGGGCTAGGTAGGCCCTACCTGGCCGAAGTTTACAGCTGCATGCTGGGCCGAGGCTGTGAAGATCACCACAGTCAGGTACTCAGACAACTTCTCTCTGCTCTTCAAGGACTTGGGGAAGCCTAAGATGGACCCACAGACTATGAGCCCATCCCCGTGAGGGACACCTGGCTCAGCCTCTGCCCTGCCTCCCCACCCATACTTTCCAAGATCTGCCCAAGAAAGACACTTGGAGAAGCCGGGGGTGGGGACTGCTCTGAGGGAGGCATTTGGTCAGGTGGGTACCCTGGAGTGGGGATTGGGTACCCTTGGAGGCAGGGTTTCCTGTCTCCTGATCCTCATGACTTTGAAATGCCCGGGCTCTGCAGCAGCAGAAGCAGAGAAAGTGACAGCCCACCTGAGGCTTTTGTGCCCCGCATGCCGTACACGTAAACATCCTTCACGAAGTCCTGCAGTTCCTGGTCCTCCACCACCACCTGGTCGTTCTCATAATAGATGCTCACCACCTCAGATGTGAACCTGGCTCAGGAGGACCGGCAGCAGTGGGTGCCCAGCAGGTCCCCCTGGTGATCCGGTCACTCCTCAGTATCTGACTCTGGATGTCCTCCGCCCCCTCCTCCATCAACACCCGACTCAGAAGCAGGCCTGCCTCCTCCTCATACTTTTCCTCAAGGTTTCCCTTCCCACAGAACCCGGCCACACTCACGACTGGATGGCCTCCCACACCAGCAGTCCGTCATCACGGTAGAAGTAGTAGGGAATGTCCTCTGTGCTGTCCATGCCCCGGGCCTTGATGGCCTCCGGGAAGCACAGGGAGGAATAGGTCAGGTCCTGGACAGCCCTCTGTACCATCTGCACGTGCCCGCCACCCCCGGTGGCATTGGCCTGGTGAGAGAGCAGAGCGCCTGAGCTTGGTCCATGCCCAGACTAACCAGCTTCGTCTATAAGGAACCTAGAGGTGGGGTGATTGGGCACAGAGTGTCCTGTGAGGTGCACAGGGCAAGCTCCCACTTCCGTGAGGGAGTGACATGGGAAATCCCATCCAGTGCAGTGGGCGCTGTACAGCTGCAGCGAGGGCAGGCTTTTGTGCAGAACACTGCTTCAGGGCAGTCAGTTGGAAGAGCTGGGCACATCAAGGACCGGATGCACAGGGGTCCGGCATCTCTGTTCAGAGTGCCCTGAAGGTCACAGGCAGGATGGCAGGGGTATGGTAGGGTGGGAGAAGTCACAGCTATCTTGTAAGGTGGGAGGTTAATGGGTGGTTTGGAGGAGGCTCAGAGACTGGAATAGGACCGGATGCACGAAAGAGTGACAGATAACAGGGAAATAAGGGTGGTGGCGCACAGGGAGAGGAGAGCTGGCTGTGGTTGGGGGACCTGAGTCGCCAGGCAGAGCTCTTCCAGACCCCGTGTGAGAAGAGGGCGCTCACCTTGTCAAAAAGGCCATACTCGCAGATAAGCTGTTCCCGGGCCTTAGTGTTGATGGCGATGGTGAACCTCACATGGGCTACCAGCAGCTGAGGGGAGGAGGAGAAACCTCAGTGAGGATCTGTGGCGGATCTGGATCCCCACTCAGCTCTCCGAGGCTGGCCCACAGTGCCTTGCGGCTGTAGGAGGCCTGTGGACACCACTCTGATGCTTAGTGGTAACGGCCCTGCTGCTCGCCTAGGGCTACACCGTGACAAAGTCTGATGTCATCCTCTGAGGCCGGAGCCCTGTGTTGACCTATTTTGCCAAGAAGAGAGGGAAGCGCCTGTACTTTCAGCCTGTAGCCCAGCCAGCAGTCAAGTGCTTGTAGCATTTGGGCAAAGAACCGTGACCTGACTGCCCTTTCAAACTCTGCTTCCTGGCCCCTGAGCGTCTGACCCAGGGCCCCTCTTTGCAGCCTACTCCTAGCCTCCAACACCCCCACCCCACCCCCTGGGATGGCCAGACATTCTCCCAGATGTTCTTTCCCTCCGCGTGGAGACATGGCGGGCTGTACCTTGAAAATGGGGTGCACAGCGGGCAACTGGCGGTACATGGCGATACCAAACACCTCGGACACCAGATGTGTGCGCAGAAGGTGGGTGATCGTCTGATGGACGTGGAAGTCACTGGAACGCACCCAGATTTTGGCCAGCAGCCAGTCATATTTGGCATCCGAAGGGAGAAAAATTGGGTTCTCCTCTCCAGGGGTTTGGTTGAGCTGGTGTGTTGAAGAAAGAGAGCACAAGCTTTTATTTCTCCTTTATAGCTTTGAGAGGGCCTGGCTCCTAGGGAAATTCCAGAAGAATTCAAAACATCAACAGTGACTTCCAAGTCAGCAGAAGCATGTGGGGAGTGGTGGGGGGGTGGCTAATGACATCTTACAGCCTGTTTGTGAGCTGTCTATAACATGGGGACATAGGTACAGACCCCAGACAAGGAGCAAGCAGCTGCAAGGACCATGGCCGGTCTTTCCTCCTTGACCCTCCCCACTGCCTGGCTTCCTCCCACTTCACCCATTGCTGCTTAGTAGCCCTCTCCATCTAAGACCTCATGCTGCTGAGTCCCCATTCCCAGACCAGACTTTGCAGCTAATGATGTGGGAGTGGTTTCTTATTAATAAAGAAACTGCCTTGGCCCATTTTATTGGATAGAAAATTAGGTAGGCAGAGTATACAGAAGAGAATTCTGGGAGAAAGAAGGTTAGTAAAGGAGTCACCATGATTCTCCTGCTCCAGACAGACGCAGGTTAAGATCCTCCCTGGTAAGCCAGCTCATGGGCTACACAGAATATTAGAAATGGGTTAGAAAAATATGTAAGAGCTAGCCAATAAGAAACTGAAACTAGCCGGGCCAGGCAGTGTTTGAAAGAATACAGTTTCAGTGTAATTATTTCTGGGCATAAGCTAGCCATGTGGGCGGCAGGGTGCCGGGGACACAGCCCTGCCACCGCTCCTAATTTCAACACATGGGGACATAGGTACAGACCCCAGACAAGGAGCAAGCAGCTGCAAGGGACCATGGCCGGTCTTTCCTCCTTGACCCTCCCCACTGCCTGGCTTCCTCCCCCTTCACCCATTGCTGCTTAGTAGCCCTCTCCATCTAAGACCTCATGCTGCTGAGTCCCCATTCCCAGACCAGGCTTTGCAGCTGGTGCCCAGCCCAGAAGCCCCACCCTGAAGCCTTGCACCCAACGACCCTGCTTGCCTTTGCCCTTCCGCTTGCACTCCGTGCTTGGGCCAAGTAATTTTTCTCTAAAATGTGAAGGGTTTGTGACCTGTTATTTAAAAACTCACTTCTTTAACGCCAGAAAAAGAGGCCCCTGAAGTTCTTGGTGATTTAGCTGTTGACATCACTGCATAAGGTAGCCCATTACGTCTCTGTCTTCAATACCAGGGCAGGCTGTGTTCTTTAGCATTTGTGACAGCAGCCGTGTCTTGTGGTGATGGTGGTGGTGTGTATGTGTGCATGTGTGTGTGTGTGTGTGTATGTGTGTGTACTCATGGACTACATGCAGTAGTGCTCAACAAACCTAGGCACTTGCCCGGGCAAGGCAAACACTTTCCTGCCGAGCCACACTCTCAGCTCCCCCTCATTCATTGCTCTTACGGAGCTTCACTCCAGAACTTGGAGGTGAGATCCCCTGCGAGTAGCAGCTAGTGCTCCCCAACCTTGTCAGACAAGGAAACGTCTTTTAAACTTTTTTCTTTAAGATTTATTATGTATGCAGAGTTCTGCCTGAAGCTCAAAAGAGAGCACCAGGTCTCATTACAGATGGGTGTGAGCCACCATGTGGTTGCTGGGAATTGAACTCAGGTCCTCGGGAAGAGCAGTCAGTGCTCTCAATTTCTGAGCCATCTCTCCAGCCCAGCCAGACAAGGAAACTTTTGAAGACCTAGCATTCCAGAGGGCCTGAGGAGAGCAGTGTGCCAGAAACGGGTTCTCTAGCCAAGAGCAGCCAGGAAGGGCCTTGGGGCTCCAGTAGAGGCTTGGCAGGATTTAGCGGTGTCCTCTAACTAATATGGCAGGTGGTTTTGCGGTTTAAATCTGATGTCTCCAGGTGTTTGGACACTTGGTTAGCTAGCAGTACTGCTCTGGAAGGTTTGGAACCTGTGGGAGCTGGAGCCTTAGGCTTTGAGGCTCCACTGCGCGGCCCTCTTCCAGACTCTTTGCTCCCTCATTGTGAATGGAAAAGAGCACCCCCATTCCCGCTGCCCTGCCTTGCCCTCCACGATGGGCTGCACCCCCTTAAACTGAGCACCCAAATCACTCCCCCTCGAATTGTTTTCATCGGGAATGTTGTCACAGTGAAAGAGGTTACAAGTGACTGCCTGATTTGTCTCTCCATCCGTGGTGGCAGTGGCCAATAGAAATACAATGTGAACAACACAATTCAGATTTTCAGGAAGCCATTGCTTTAAGCTATCCCAGCTTTACAGAGAGACAAAAAACAGTAAGCATGTCACTTCATAACCAGCCACAAGGGCTCGCTGCTTTGGATATGTATGTATTTATGTCTAATTTTCATAAACTAAGCCTTACTATGAGGGACTTAGGCCTCTTCTTACTTTACTCATTTGTTCCCCAACCTGTTCTGCCACCAGCCTGGTGGCCCTTTGTCCTCTGCTTCATCAAGTCCACACAATGCCTTCCCGTGTCAAGTATGTAGTTTGTGGTGTGCTGCATTCCTGAATCCATTCTGCATAAATGAGATGATATCATCCATGTTCCCTTTCTTGTTTTTCTGCCTTGGTAATAGCCTTGTGGAGATCCAAGTCAACCAAGAGCTAATGTAGTCCTCTTGGAAGGCGCCCAGCACTGCAGTGCTCCCTGGCTTGGAGTCATCCCCTCAACCCTCTCCTACATTCAGACTGTCTGCAGCCTCACACAAACCCAAATCATGATCCCCACCCTCTAGCATGCAGCTCTGGTGATCCTCGGAAAGGCTACTTCAGCGAGTGCAGTCTTGGCAGAGAACCTCTTAGCACTGGTTCAATTGTCCTGGCCATGCCAGCCCCAACACTGGGATCCACGGGCCGTTTACAGTCCAGCCTGAAATCCAGACTGTTGCAACATCTGTGGACCCCGCTCAAGGGCTGACCCAGGAACCGTTCTGCTGCCAATGCCCTGGGTGGCATCCATTTTCCTGGGTAGGCCTAGAGAAAGGGTTAGCCAGATCCTGTGGCTTGTCCAATGCCTTCCTTCCTACTAGCAATGGGGAAGAACTGAGATTGAAGCCAGGTCCCTGGTTCTAGGAGGCTCTAATAAACGTGTGTCTGAGATAAGCTAGTTCAGAACACCTGTCAGTGGCGACTTATCGTCTTCCAGTGGTGATTTCCCACATCCCCTGCGCCTTCATCTAATGTTACAAGCTTTCTCTGATAAGAGGCTGAGGACTCCCGGAGTGCAGAGGGGTGGGGAGCCTGGAAAACTAGGCTTTGACCAATTAATTGATTAATTAAATTTTGACACTAGGTATCACTCTGTAGCCTAGTCTGGCCTTGAACTACAGTCTGGGATTATACAGATGAGCTAAATGCAGGCTTGAATGTAGCCAGCTTGAATCCCACCTCGGTGGCTCACTATGTGTACCTGGACCTTAGTCTCCTTAGCTGGGTAAGATGGTAATCAGTAGGGCGGTAATTACACACAGGAGACAGGCACTGTGTGAAACCCCAGTGATCCTATGCTTTCTGATCCAGAATATTCAGGATGTCAGCAATGCGTATGCTTCATGATATGGTAAGTCTCTCCTCCAGGACTGGGCAGCACAATACATTGGATATATATTCAACACTGCGATGTTTCTGTAGGGAGCCTTCATGTATCTTATTAAATGGAACAAAAATTCTAAAAGTCCTGAACCTTGTGGTTCAGAGGTTTATTTAAAACTAACAGATTTGCTGGAAAATTGAAAACGTGTTGCAGTTTTACAGTCTTGGTCTTTTGGCTAAGATCAAGCACAGTGTCTGCTCTCAGGTACTTCACATACAGCCGCTCTCGGGACTTCTTAGATTGTCCAGGCAAGAGCTTTCGGGGCACGCAGGGTCAGCCCACATGTCCAGCTGATGCTGTTCCCATTGTACCCAGTGTCTCAGTCGCAGGCACTGTGTGCTGACTGCTCATCTTCCCATCCACCACGGGTCTCTGTAAAACTCTACCCCCCAGGGACCCTCACTTAGACCTGCTTTGCCATTCCTAAGCTCCTCCTTGCTGTCTGCAGTCAGCTTTCACAGAACAGGTAGAGAAAACCCTGTGCCCACCTGCCTCCTGTGAGACTGCTCCCCTGGCACTCCGCTGTCCTTGGGGTGGCAATGATCTACTTGCATGGAAGACAATGCCCTGGTGAGGACTCTGACATCGCTCAGTGGCTTCCATCTGCAACTTAACTCCTGGCTTCACCTAGCTGGCTTGTGCGGGCATGTTTATTTGGGAACGCTGGTCAGGAGGTGGGTGGGAGGAACAGCATGTCATTGCAGGACAAGCCTTCGCCAGTGTGCTCAGCCCCAGGAGGGCATTTCTCAAAGTTCCCCTGGGGAAAAGCCACCGTCCGCCTCTTGTGGTATAGACAGCCTGCTTCACAGCAGCCCCGAGTCCCAATAGCTCATTTTTCTCTTCTAACCCAGTGAAAGTCGGAGCGAGAGTTGTCAGTGTCCTGCAGCACCGCGGGCAAAGATGCCCCAGAAGCTCCTTCCCTGCCTTCTGAGGTTGAGCAGCCCACCTACCTGAATGGCAATGGGAACAATCTTGTTGGCTAGGTTCTTATATAGCAAGCAGATGGGTGCAGCTAGGAACTGGTGTGTGCAGGGATCGGTTTTGTTGGCATCGATGCCATCCAGTAGCTCGTAGTCCACGATGAAAATGTTCCCTTCCTGCAGGAGGCAGAGAAATGTATTCAAGCTACTTTAAGCAGAAAAGGACCTGAGAGCCAGGCCGGAGTAGGATGTGAGTGATGGTCTTCAGGGCACCCTACCCCTTCCCTGTAACTTAGTGTGTAACACGCCCCTAGAAACTGTTAACTAAGAAATGTTCATTAACTCCTCACTTGAGTATTCACAGTAGCCAAATCCGGGGTGACAGCCTGCTATCCCTGCCTTTATTTTGTGTTTGTGTTTTTCACTTTGGGTCAGACTCCTGCCAGCTCTGTAAGTCAGCGTGTTTATCACTAGAAGGGTGTCTGTTTAACCTATTTTCTCACTCTTCAAGGCCAAGGACACAGGTATGGTCCTCTTTCTCTCCCGCAGTATATATTTAATACAATGATGTATTTTACATTTACATAAAACATGGAAATCCATTCCAGTGTCATATTGAACAGAACAAAAATTCTATGCTGCCTCCTTCGTGGTTCTTAAGTTTATTTGAAATCAAAGTATTTGCTGCAAAAATGTCAAGTGTGTCACAGTCTTGGGTTCCAGAAGCAGCTAACACCAATCAGGACTCTTACACACGTGCTTGCACCAGGATAGTAACACTACAGCTTGGAGCAGAAGCAATCATTCCTTCAACCAACAGCAAAGACTTCTTTGGACCAGTTGCAGAACCAAAGCGATGATCAAACAGACCACATCATGCCAGGACGGCTTATCACACCCCATCTTGTCCCGTGCCCCAGATCTTCCTCTATTTAATCCTAAAGCTCATGTCAGTGCCCCAAGGTGAATTGGGGGGGTCACTGAACCCCGTTATCTCTTCCCTCCCACGTGTCCACATTAGTTAGATCTCTCTCTCTCTCTCTCTCTCTCTCTCTCTCTCTCTCTCTCT